TTGTGCTTGTATATAACTTGCTTTGTCTACGCACCTGCTATTCGAATGCCGGCAAGTGGGCTCCAACATATTACACGTCTTGAGAAGATTCTTGTCCATGCACCCGGGGCCACGTCGGATGAGCAACTAATCAAAATTGTAATTACTCGTACCACATACACAGGCTGTATACGTGGAACTCTTTTGCTTGCACACATGTATGCAGATATCATGCATCGTAAGTTTTATACTCGGTGGTGGAGAAGACCAACTCTATGTATACAAGCTAGTAGGAATCAGATTATGTATTAGTCACGAGGATCCCAAAAAAGTGCCGTCTGACGCATGGCTATGTAGACTTCGAGCTTTGCAAACAGGACTGAATTCTTGTATTCCAAATCTGACTGCCAATGGTGGATGATATGGTTTGTTGAATGCTATCAATATAGCACAAAGCCGGATTGTTCATAGCCACAGTGATAAAACTTATCCAGTATTGTATACACTCCCTGTGCATTGCTTTAAGCATATAAACATTCGGAATATACATCCTATTGAAGAACGGTTATAGTGTGAACGTGATTAACTAATTCGATGCAAAGCATTCGTGCATATGTATGCAACCATCGAATCTTGAAAGTAAAGTAATAGTACATGGCGGCCGGGCCTTTGCAATCTAAGAAGTACGTATGGCATGTGTGCATGTATCACGCAAGCAATCATACAAGTAACGACAAGTTTGAAACTACAGTAGCCTTGATAACATGGTGTGGAATGTTACTGAGTTGCAGATACATTACAACTCTATGAAATTGATCGCACTGCCTACACGGAATAAAGACTGCTTAAATAAGATACTAAGTTCAGGTGGGCGCAACTTCTGTAGTGACTGGTCGTCTCGACTATGAACAGTGGACAACTGATATCTCTGCAAAACGAAGTGGCACCTTTGTCAATTAGAGTTGCACCCTCAATACCCGAGCTCATGGTCCAGTCAAGCATCCACACTGGATGACTAGATTTGAAGAAAACGATCTCAAGAATAAGGAGTCAAAACATGAAATACTAAAAGAGAGTTCCAAAGACAGTCGAGCAACTTGCCGGGGGACGGCTCGAGCATATTTTGATGGTGGAAGAGAATAACAACACACCACTCGACCTGACTTGTGGACCCTCAAAAGGCCTGAAGGTCTTGCTCACTAGTCATGCTCACAAATCCTGGTTCAAGTAGCATCTGCTGCAGGCTCATCAGCAGCGCCAGGACCCATGCTCGTTGCATGCTCATCAGTAGCGGCGTCATTGAAGGACGGCGGGGGGGCGGGGTTGCTCCCTAAGGGCCCGGTGCTGGATGCCGGGGGCACAGACCCCGCAGCCTGGAACTGGTTCAAACCCCCTAAAGGGGCGTTGAATGGCCGCGGCGCAGGGGCGGTTGGCGGAAAGTAGCCTGTGTTGCTACAAATGGACGATCTTGTGAGGAGCTTTGAGAAAGAAAGCCGAAAGGAAGTTCTTAAGATCTGAGTTAGCTTGAACAGAAACTCAAGTGCACATAGAGACTTTCCTTTGCAAGTCTTTCTTTAGTGTGTGGTCCGGTTGCTCCTGAAGTCTCAATGTAAAACATCCAGGACGGTTGTTTATGTAACACCCTTCAGAGACCTTGACGTTACAAGCAACGTCACACGGGTTTTGTACAGGTAAGCCCCCAGTCAGTACTGTTTGGCTGTTTGCAAAAGCAACACATAAAAACCCTTCAAAAAGGTCAAGAAACCCAGGCTCACAAAGTTCAAACTCATCTCAGAAAGATGCTTAATCTCAATCTGATTGAAGCACCAAGTTTTTAGTCTGATCAAGATCAAGATGAACAATTCGAAATGCCTCGATCAGTCAGCGCGAAGTGGAATAGTAGAAAGCTCTGAATCCAAAGAGCGCGGGGTTGTGAACATCAGATCAGCGCAATGGAAACCTTCAACATTTTCTCCACATGACAGGTACCACTTTAACCAACGAATTGCAACGCAGGCAAGTCCCCAAGGAAAGCTTCCACTTACTAAGCTGCAGCCCTTGCAGCAATCTCAGCCATTGTCTTTTGATGCTGCAGCGTCTGCAAAGCCACTTGTTGCTGGAAGCTCAGATTCTGCCGCTGGAACTC